TGATAAATATATGTAAACTTTGTCAAAATTAATGATTTAAATCACAGAGAATGTACCTAAAGCAAAGTGGTATTTTACTAAATAACAATAAGGTATAAACATGGATGACTTGTAAACCTTATTGAAAATATGTCTGTGAAGATTCTGGTTTTTTATTTTGCTAAAACCAAAAACAAATGGAGACCAGCCTTGAAAATTACCTGAGCAGACAAAACAAATTTAGTCATGCAAGCAATGCTTAACTTAGCTTATTTGCGAGACTAACTTGACCTGGGTAATTTCTTGCTTAATGCCTCTGGAAATCATAAGAAACACTTAAACTGGTTCCCAAAATTGATATGGGTAACTACTAGCCAATTCTAATATTATCACTACTCACTGTGAAAATGAACAGTCACTGCCTTCCCACTATATAAGCTGCTTTATAAAAATATGCCTGTATTTTGGTTTGAGTGCTCCCAGTTCACTGTCTTTTTTGATGTGCGTACAATCAACTTTTACTAATTACGATTTCAATGATTCATTGATTTTACTTCTGTTGTTTCTGAACTTTTGACAGTTCACAGCATCAGAGTTGGATTCAAAGACCACCACCAACTCCATGGAAGGTGAGCAACCAGGTACTAGTACCCACCTAGCCCACTGAGCTCCCTGCTTTCTCACTGACCCTGGAGTTTGGGAGTAAGTCTCTACTGGACCTAAGCTCAGCTCTCTTTGTGGTTAGTGCTTTCCAGCTTTATTGCTCATAATTGTATTTTATTTGTTGAAGCTTCTTGATAAGTCAACCTATTCTGTTCAAAAGAAGGGAAATCATTTGATAGTGTTTCAGAAAATAGGGCTCCTTGTAGCTAAGGGGGCTTAAGGAAGCTAAAGGGAAAGACGGGTCCACTTGGTCTGAAACTCTCTCTTCACCTCCCTCAAAAATGCCTGCTTTCTATGGAAGAAAGGCATTCAAAAGGCAAAAATAAAATAAATGAAATAAAATAAATTGATGAGCTAGATCAACCATCAGGACTAGACATGGTAGCAAAGATATTGGAATTACCAGGCCAGGAATTTAGAAGAACTATAATTAATATGCTAAGGGCTCTAATGGAAATAGTAAGTAGCATGCAAGGAAAATGGGCAACGTAAGCAATGAGATGGAAATTCAATGAAGAACCAGAAAGAAATGCTAGAGATTAAAAACATGAATGAGAATGAAGAATATCTTTTATGGTCTTCTTAATAGACTAGACATAGTTGAAGGAAAAAAACCATCTCTGAGCTAAAGAATCTATCATTTGGACAGAATATAATAACAGGAGGTATATTATCTGCTACTCTTTGTTGAAATAAGGTGCTGTCAGTTATGTAGCACTTCCAGTATGTATGCTAGCTCAGCATCACTCTCAGCAGGAAATAAGTTAAGCACCTGAGAGTGTGTGCTTCCTGAGATGACTGCTCTCATGCCAATATCCTGAGCACAGCTGGTAGAGTTGTGTTAAAATGTTGAACTTGTCTTCTATTTTGAAAGCACCAGTGGCTCGAAAGTTACCATGCATGTTAATTGTCCCATTTTTAATGTTATCATTAATAATTGTATATGTCTTCATAAATATGGGCAACTTCATGAGATCAGGGAATATTCTTTGCAGAACACATGCCTGGGTTTCCAGTTTTTCAAAAATCATGCAGACATTTGCAGTTATAATATTAAGTTATTTTCATTTGCTAAGGGAATTTGTCATTTACATAAAATCAACCCCCCTACTTTTATACCCAAATTAAATTAGTAGTTGCAGTTTTTTCTTTTTGTAATTTTTTCAATTAAGATTAAAACTATTTTCTGCATTTTACTGTTTGTATAGTCCAGACACTTCTGTTATATTCTGTTAGTCAAACAGTCACAGGCTACTCAGATCCAAGGGAAGGAAAGAGGCCACACAACTCAATGAGAGAAGTATCAATGAGTGGCTTCAAGTTCAACACACTTATAATTTAAATGGAATGCAATTAACAATTAGCATGGCTTCTTACAAATAACTTTTGTTATATTAAAGCTTGCTAAGTGTTTAAATACATGCTAATGTCAGATAAACTTTAAATGTGCTATCATTTAGGACAATATCTTTACAAGTGCTCATTGTAAAATATTATAACTTTTAGATTCATTTCCAGAGAAGGCAAAATTTATTGTTTTTACTGTATTCTTTCATTTAGTCATTCATCTACTAAAACAGAATTTTTCTGGACAGTAAACTATACTGTTGTGTGATACCCTATAACAGAGAAAGTATTGAGTAAATAGCCATTTGCAATACTATGTAACGTATTATAACAGAGAAGCACAAGGTTTTAAGTACACAGGAGTGATGTCTAACCTGGTTTATTTTGGAAAAGACTGAATGGAGATTGGCTCAATGAACAGTTTTTCAATTCAAAGGAACTGGAGGTAGTAGAATATGAGCAGAGGGGAATTTTATAATATACTTCACTCAGAGCTGATTCAGAAGGACAAAAACACAGGCAGACCTGGGTAAACACATATCTCTCTGAGGCTGGAGAGCTAAAAGGTGGCAAGTCATAAAAATCGCAATTTGTAGCAATATTGAAGGAGCTGCTTTATATCTGAGGAGCATAGAAGCAGAGGGGCGGTTTTATCAGAGCCATTTGTGCAAACATCCCTTGTCCTTCGTCTTGAAGAATGGACAGATGAGAGGCATGNCTGAGGAGCATAGAAGCAGAGGGGCGGCTTTATCAGAGCCATTTGTGCAAACATCCCTTGTCCTTCGTCTTGAAGAATGGACAGATGAGAGACATGAGTTGAGTTTTAAAAAACTGAAAGCAAGAGAGATGTTTAGGAGATNTGGACAGATGAGAGGCATGAGTTGAGTTTTAAAAAACTGAAAGCAAGAGAGATGTTTAGGAGATAGTTCCTTGTGATTCTGGGGAGAAAGGATGGTTACCTAGATTAAGATGTTTGTTGAGAGACACACATTTGAACATCTTTGAGACAGTAAGATTGCTGGCTTGGCAGGTTCAGAATGGGCTGGGATTTTAGGATTTTTTGTTTGTTCCTTTTTGTTTATGCTCATAGTTCAGGTGGGATATTTCATGATATTAAATTTATTTTGTAATTTTGACATTTATTTTGTAATGTTGAGGGGCTGATAGAATATCTAATGAGAAACTGTACCGAATGTGTGGACTATGAGAAAAGCACTTGGTTGGGAGGTCCAGACGAGCTCTCAGTGACAAGGTCGTGAACCAAGGCGCAGAGCTGGATAGGAAGGCGCACAAAGCGAAGTCAGGGCAAGTCTAGGGCAGATGCTGAGGCCCTGAACACCCGCGTCTTGGAGGCAGCCTGGCTTCTGAAGGGCATTAATAAGGGTCTCTAGAGTTAGGGTGAAGAACAGAGGTATAGAGCACCAAGGAAATAATGAAATAAAGCCTTTCCAAGTTTATTTTAATGTTTAAACTGGCAAATATTTAAAAATATTTAAATACTGAGGGAAAAACAAATAAAAGGAGCAAGAGGGTAATTGTATATTTGGAGAAATTGAACGAACGGTTAAACCCTTGGACAGTAGAAAAACATTTTCTATTGGATAAATCAAATCTGTAATAGGGAGGGGCAGCTATTATTGTATTAATATCTAGTGAAGGGAAAACATATAATCCATTAAAATGTTGTTAAAACCTTACCTATAGGAATACTGCATATGTATCTTAAGAATAGATTATGGAACATAAGTAGAGAGAAATACTTCTTTCTCCAGTGATTGAAAAAAGCAATCTCAGATTTTGTATAACCTGACAGAAGATGTATTCATTCATACCTATACACAAATCCATACTTTTTTTCTTGTCATTGTGTTTACATCATTAAAATCTGACTATAAAAATGTTTTGAGCCCTGGCGGGGAAGCTCAGGTGGTTAGAGCATTGTCCTGATGTGCCAAGGTTGTGGGTTTGAGCCCGGGTCAGAGCACATACAAGAATCATCCAATGAATGCATAAATAAGTGGAACAACAAACTGTTGTTTCTCTCTCTCTCCCTTCCTCTCTCCTTCTCTAAATCAATTAATTTAAAAAAATGAAAAATTTTTTGAAAAATTTCTTTATTCAAATAAAGAAGAAATTATGTGTGTGTGTGTGTGTGTGTGTATATATATATATATATATATATATATATAATTTTTAATTTACCTTTATTGTTGAAAGTATTACAGACGTCCCCTATTTCCCCCTATTGATCCCCTCCACCCCACATCCGCCCCACGCCCGGGCCTTCCCCATACTATTGTGTGTTTCCGTGGGTTATGAGTGGGTGGGGGAGATTAATCATAGATATATTTGATTAACATCTATTTCCTTATTTAAATTAGCTACAGTATGGATGTAATGTAATCTTTTCACCTATTCTCTTTTTGCTGAGGTCATTCAAATTTCACTATTATAAATAAAAGAGAGTTGGTAATTATTTTATATATATATTTGCACATATGTCTGGAAATTGCTACAAGGTAGATTTCTGATAACAAAAGTGCAAACTCAAATAGTGAGAAAGTTATGTACCATTGAATAGAACTAACAACGTACCAATAGTCTATTCAGATGTGTATATACCTCTCAAAAATAAGGTCTATTATTAAAAAATAAGACTCATTCATCCTATATCTCCGTTGTCACATGAACACAATGACAAACCAGCTATGTGTGCTTTAGATTTAAAACAGAAAGAAAGAGAGGCAGCGAGAGAGGATGCCCAGGTCTACCGTCTTCACCTCATTTAAGTCAAGGTATAGGGACCTGAGCAGTCTTTCATGTCACAAATAATCATGAAGTTAATACACAATGACACAGATACAAAGAGAATACTTTGGATGATTTGGATAGCATCACTCTTACATAAAGCTATGAAATAAATCACAACTCAATTCAGAACATCGATTTTTCTCTTCCTAGGATTGAGACACCTTGCACTGCAGTTTTGAACTGAATTATTTTCTACTCACCTCACAGCTAACAGAGTTGAAAATTAAGTGAATTTCAAGTGAAGTCAGGTGAAGCCATTCCATATTCATGATTCAATGTCTACAGACAGAAATAGAATTATTTATATTAGGATTTTGAAGAGCGTAATGGAGGACTCTACTAATGATTTGTGAAAAGTGATCCAGCGATCTGGAAATGACATGAGTAAGTAACGTCTAATCAAAACTTGGTTCTCATATGAATATTTCTATAGAGAATCATGTTGACTTACATTATAACTTGTGCTTAAAAAAAGAAAGGTAAGAAAAAGGTAATTAACCCATGCCAGCCAATTTATTTTAATTACATTCATCTTTCCAGTTTATAAATAAGTGCTCCAGAGATGCTTTCATTTTAAATTGAAAGCATTGAGCGTGCAGTCTTATAACGCTCCCGCTTTGCATTAATAACAGCTCATTGACTTTACTTTTTTTCCCTGTTTTCTTCCCATGTGCATAAAGGATGAGACGTTATACCTAAAAAAAAATCATGGGAATGCATTTATTAAGAGCTACTATATAAGTGTATGTATATATAATATGGAACATGAACAGGGAGGCAGACTTCTTTCCCCAGTGATTTAAAAAGGCAATGTTAGAGGGCCTGG